AGTCGCGAATTCTCTGGAATTCTCAGGTCTCAATTTTTATCCCGGCTTTCGTGCACTTCGTATTTTTACGAGGTTTCGAAAGTCGTCGGTTTGCCGGATGAAATCGGTATTTACCGATCATGGTTCCGTTAACTTTCATAGTAGTATAAAACAAAATTTTTATCGAAGGATTTTTAACACTAGACTATATTCTTCCCTTCTGGTATACTTAGGTGTACTCAACTATTTAGGTATACAAAACACAATTTTCCAAATATAAATAAACAAAAGTCAATCCACCCTTGGACGAAAGAATTTTAACAATTTCTGTAATTTAAAATAATCTGAAAATCGCCATTTTGACGAGTATAATTATTTCAGTGTCAATCTCTTCTCAAAATTTGTCCTCCTTCAAAAACAATTAAATAATCACTTCTTTTCCTTAATTTTCTCTCCTGACTCTCGCATAAATTTTTCTACTCCATAGATCGAAAAATATCGATCCGAATATTTTCTCCTTAAATGCATTTATTTTTGCACAAAAATCAAGTAATTCTTAATTTTGTCGTTAAGTAAATTTTAAGAAATACTCGGTTAATTCTGAGACGCCCAGAACATCCAGGCAACTCGTAAACCAGGACTCGACTCGTCCCAAATTCTCAGCCCCGAGTTGGAATCGAGGGCAAAGGACGAACTCGAGAGACAACTATGACGACAGTAAGTCATAGTGATTCCTGTGAACGTGGAATATCTCGGTGTGACTAGACGCGTGCACACGCCGGATATACCGCAAGGCTAGTCTAAAGAGATAATATTGCCTGCCGCTAGCGAAATATTGGCGGCTGGCCAAATGGAAATAGATAAAAAGCCCGAAGGGTGGCAGAATCATCCCACCGTCCCCATCTACCCGTACCGTCATACCAAACGGACAGATACACGCTGGTATGCATGCATATAAAGGCCAACACAGGTATGTGGGATACGCCACACCCCATGTGCATGCACCAGTGTTCACAGTTATTCGAATAAATGTTTATTTTTAATAATGAATAACGAATGAAATTTTATATTCGTTCGCTCCAGAGACCAAAAATAAGAATTATTTTTAACAATTTTTGTATTTCACCCCGTTCGTCGTTGAAGTATATTTATTGTTAAAAAAAATTTATTATATTTTTATTCGTTGGTTGAAATAATTTTTGGAGAACACTGTATATAAAGCGGAACGGTATGCGCCACGGCCTTTCCCAATGCCAAATTCTATTCGTATAACCGTGAAAGCTAGTGTATACCATCTCGATGTTTGCCTTTATGAGACAGCTATCGATCGCAGAGCGTCGCATTAATTTCAAGTGTCATACACGGTTCAATAGGAAAGCGAGTAACGTTATCACGCGAGAATTATCAAATTATCCACGGATCGTGTCGTTATTTTTACGTGAAATAATTTTGCATAAATAGAGCGTCGAAAATTAACCGCTTAATTTTCGATGCGTGGGATAATAAATCGGAACTTCCGCGATATTACACGGTGAATTATTACGCGAGTCTTTTGAATCTTCCGCGAGCAAAAGTTTCGCTTTATTTCACACACGTGAGCGCGATAAACGAATTAACGCGACCGCGATACAGCGGCGATAGTATTTCATTTTTGACGTGAAAATTATCGCGCGGTTGTTTTTGGTGTTTTATCGAGATGATAGAATGCAGTTAGTTCCCGTACCATTTTGTTGAATTGTTCCTTGAGGATTTGTTTCTGTTTATCTAGCTCGAGACATACTAAGGTATCAATTTGTTCTTGGCTGGCCGCGTCACCCGATGATCGCAACGCTGCCTTCAACTTCCTCTCGTTGACTGTCTGCAATGTTATGAATAAGAAATGGCTTAAGTTCGTCGAATGTGTAGCTTGAGATTTGCTCGTGTAACCTAGTGTCGACGAATATTTACCCTCAGTTTTTCCAATTCCTTTTGCAAGTTGTTTACTTTATTGTACATGTGTAGGACGAACAAATCGAACTTGTTCTCGTCAATGGCCAGCTTTTTTTCGTGAATGTTAATGTCAGGGAATAATATTTGTAATTCTTCGTTTAGGTTCTCGCGAGCCACTTTAACCTGTTTCCAATAACGTTCAGCCATGTTGCCAACCTCTACTTCTTCCTCGTATTTTTTCTTCGCCGCGTCTACGTCATCCAATATTTTTTTGACGTTTCTTCTGGCAGCTGTTTTTATTTGCGACGGAGCATCGAACTTGGGATCGTCGATCAAGTTGTACATCTTCTTGACCGATTCGGCTGCCAG